ATCCTAAACTGGCCCAAAAAATTCCCCTCCCTACACCAGGGCAATGAACCCCTCAACAAGACCCACCTATTACTTACCCTCTTCATTAGCAAGGCCACTGGCATCAACAACCCTTGTGACCCTTGAGCATGAGGACTATGACTGTATCTTATTCCTGTAACAGGACCCCCCTGAAATCTCTGCGCGCACCGAGACCTGTGATGACCAGGACTGACACCATGCAAGCCAACTCCTGTGGCTAATGACCAAGAAATGCCTGCACTGAAAGGGCTGCTACAAATAGCGCTGCCATCCCTGAAGCTTTAAAGGTTACCTCATCTTTTTCCTCTTGCCTGCGGCGCTGCTCCGCTTCAAATACCAGCTTCACTTGGATTTCCTGAGCGATCTCGCAGTCCTGTCGTTCTCTAGAAGGCAAGGAGACAAGGATTATAGGCAGCTAAAGTCACAGGCATCAGTCAGCCTGGAGAAAGAGATAAAAGAGCTAAAGAACCCATCTGATTTATACAGAAGAATTATTACTCAGTATTAATGCAGAGCCTATGAATCCTCACCAGGGACCAGAACTCCCTGTAATTACTGCTGGCCAAATTTAGAAAAGAGCTCCCAAAACATTCACAAAGTATAAAGCAAGAGAAAACAGATTCATAGGCAGTTTGCTAAGAAAGGAGGTAGGAACCGTAAGATAGGGCAGGCCAAGGCAGTCTCTGCAAACAGTCTAATTCTGCTGAGGAGGTTTTGTACATGTGGTGCCAAAGGAGGGCTTTAGGGGTACGGTTAATGCAGGCATTTCCGGGAAGTGGTGTTCATGTGAAAGCCAAGAAGGAGAAAGTGCAGAAATGCTGACGGCAAAAGACAGTACGTAGGCCAGCCAGAGCCTGAAGGTGACAGTTCAGTAATGAATGAGAAATGCTGCTGAGGTGGGACGAGACACAAAAGCAGAACCGGTGCCAAGAGGCAAGAATGCAACATGCGTCAAAACGAGGGGTGAGGGAGCCATCGTCACAGTGCCAGTGCGGATGCAGGAACAACGTAAGATTGCACTAACTGGGGACAAAGAGATACCAGAGTAACCGAGACATGAAATGAGAGTTTCGTCTGTGTGGATAGACCGGGAAAGCCGTGTTTCAGGGACGTCATACAAGAAAGCATCTGCAAGAATTTCGCCATACTCAGCCACGCACCCTGATGCCTCTGGCAAACAGGCTGGAACAATGGCCAGGGGTTCCTCAGGGCAACCCAGCAAAGGGCTGGGGGATTTGAGAAGAAAGAGTAAGAGCCCTTTTTTCCAGCACTGTTGAAACTGAGCCAAAGACTAGCTCTGAACAGATCAGAAAAATCAAGTCTAAGCTGTCTCTGCAACTGAGACTACTGAAAGGTAAGTCATAGAAGGAGATGAGAATGGGAACAGCAAGAGGCAGGGCTTGCTTTATTAGAATACAGTCTTTTGAAGAATACGCTGGCAATTATCAGATGGGTGATGGGAGGACTACCAAGAGCATATTATGGAAGTCAAGCAAATATTTCAAAAGAAGCAGGTTCAGCTGTGTCAAAGTTGTGCTGTGTGGGCTGGAGCAACTAGTTCTAGGCTTGAGCAAGGATCAGGGCATAAGTGACCTAGCAAACTTGGAGGCAAAGGACTGGAAGAGAGTCTAGGACGTGAGCAGAGGAAATTAAAATAATAAGTGCAGACAAGCACTTTTGGTAGCAAAACAGAGAAATGGCATGACTGGAGCAGTCAGTGGCACCACAGAGCCTTCTTTTATAGAAAGTGAAGAAGAATGAAAGAAACAGAAAGAGTGGATATGTGGCTTAGGGTGGGAAGGAAGGACACTGCAACAAGAAGAGAATTTAGAGGACAGATGCCACCAAGAAACAACTGATCTGTCATAGGGAAGGAAAAGGAACACGCAGCAAGAGGGAAAAGAAGCTTCTTTATTTCTGTCAACTGCTCCTTGGAAGGAGACCTGCAACTGGGTACAGCACGTTATTTATATGAACCCCAAGTACACATGAACCGAAGTCAGTGTCACAACATGACATTTTCCTTCCCCTTCCCAGACCACCACGCTCACAAACACTTCTGCATATTCATAAATTGACCCACGTCTAGAGACATCCCAGAAGGCACCCATGAATTTTAGTGTTTGTAGGGCTGGAGTTATCAATAGGTCAAACAACTTCAGACATCAGTTTCTTTCATCCAGGTAATAAATCCTGGCATTTTGTGTGTGCACCTATGTGTGTTTCACTTGAGACCAGGGAGAGACCTGTTCAAAGGCACATGAGCTCACATGGCAGCAAATCTTGTTCTTGAACCTGCCATATAAAAAGGGACCTTGGCAAACCTGGTACCAGCAGGGAACCACAGTCCCCAGCAAACCAATAGCTGAATATGCAAAACCTGGGGACCAGTCTGTCAATGGGCCTAAGACAGTGGATCCCTTACGACGCCAGTCTCAGAGGACATGAATCCAGGTAGAAAATAAGTTAGAAAGGTCAGACATATCAAGGCATTGCACGTCTCCAGTTCCCCCGGCACCTGTGAGCAGAGCTAAGGTGCCAAGTTCATCAGCACCAACTCACTTGCTAAATGCTTAAAATACATCTTACTGCAGACAAACAGGAGACAGAAACAGCTAGTAGTCTTTCAGAGCCAAGGCAACAAGGTCATTGCCTCTCTATTCACAGCAAAGAACACTAGAAGTAACGCAAAAGCAGATGCATTTTCTTGTTCCTGATGACATGCATCTTGGAATACACCGTATCAATCTCTAAGAACCACTGAACAGCAACAGAGGATTAAATTTGGGATTTTATTGCTCAGTGGTAATTAAATACTGAGACTTGATTAGTTAATCAACATAAGCCACTGTTTCAACTTGACTGAGCATAAGAAAATAGGTTAAAGAACTTTGACAGCTCTTCTTATCCTTCAATTTCTTTAGTGTGAATTCAAGTGCTCATCAGTCCCAGAAATCAGCCAGAGCAACATAAACGTCACCATCCCTGAACATCATACCTAGGTGTCCTTCATTCCTGGGCAGCCAGGAGTGGTAGAGTTTTCCTGACACTCCTAAATCAGTTTAGGAGAAAGAGAAAAAAGAGTGATCAGAAAGCTCCAATTCACATTGGCTGTAGCAACTAATTGTTGCCAAATGAGGAGAAAAAAAAAAAGGATTTAAGGGAACCATTCAAAGGAACTGTTCACATTAGTGTAACAGAACCATCACAGCACTGGGAGCAAAACAAGGAAAAAAGCATATTTTCACGGTATTTGACAGTTATTTTAGCAACCTTGCTACTATGCTTGGCAATGTGCAGGCTGCTCAGCTAGATGTGAGAGATGCTTTCAAAGAAGCATGAAAATAAGGTTTGATGCTTCCCTGAATTCTTAAGAAGAGAAGTTATCTCTATTCTCTCATTTATCTTCACAAAGTGCTTCTGAGACAATCTAGGATTTGAAAGACAGAAGAAAGTCCATAAATTTGAAGAGCTTTTTTTATGTTCCCTGTTTCTAAAGACCACCCAGTTCTGCCCCTTTACTCCTCCCATAACCTTGGAGTGTCAAACTGTCCTAGACGATACAGAAAGCAACAGCAGCAAGGATCATTTTGTTGCCAGAACACGCTGATCTTGCACGAGGAAGAGACAGTGGGAACGTACAGAGAATTAAGGAAGAAAAAGATCCAATTACAAAAGGATGCCTCCAACTTTTTTCTCTATTTTGCAGAAGAGCTCATGCTTTCAGGAGCAGAACTGCTGCTGACACAACATTTTGCATCAGCAGTTCTGCCTGTAACTTGGCTCACAAAGTTCGTAAATCCCACTTTACAGAGTCCTACAACAAGAAAATTGTTTGCAGTTCCCAGCAAGTAACAGAAAGGAATCATCTCTGCCATACAAAATTAATTTTTATGTTGTCATTCACATGCTCACATCTCTAATTGGTAACGAAGACAAAGCTATTGAAAGAAAGCACAGACTTGAGATACACACATATATCCACCCAATGCTGCCTGAGTATGCTGGGAACATTGAGAACAGTGGCTGATTTGTCACGCCCCAGCTTCAAATCTTTTATGAGCAGCTCCTTTGAAGCCAGTCCTGTATCTCACACATCTGCAATACAGCGCTCTTCTACTCTGTCGCTGCCTCTGCCAGATGAGCCACCCAGGGTTTGTGATCCACCACCAACTGTACCTGGTGGGTGGCATCACAGAGCACGACACAAGCCAGGAGGCAGCACAGCCGCTGGGAGATGCGCCCTGCCTTGCAGACCCTGCATTTGCAGGGAGCCCCGTTAGAAAGCAAGCTCCTGTCTCTCATCATCGGGGTCTGACTGGAGCCCTCTCGGGAGCCCTCTCACACGACCCATTCATTACATCTCACACATTGCAAGAGACTGGGAGGGGGAGGGTGCAGGGGGACAAAAAAAAAAAAAGGAAAAGCATCAGTGTCAACTCTAGATTGGAAAGTACAGTTTGTTTTGCCCTGCGCTGCCATGTTTCATTTCTACACCAGCTCCACAGCCTAAAAGCCATGGCACGCAGAAAGCCAAATCACAGGCCACAAGGTTAGATCTGGGGTGTGGGGCCTGAGCAAACCTGCAGAGCAAACTGGATCACTCATTAAACATTCTCCCATAGTTGCTGCAGAAGTCAGTGACTGTAAGAGAAGGCCTGTCCCCCAACACCCATCTCCACCAAGTGACCCTGGGGCAGCAGCTCCTCCTCCCGGGTCACTTCACACTGGAGTACCTGCAAGCGCAAGCAGGGGCTTTCAGCTGTTCAGTGCAGCAGGACACCAAAAAGCATTGCACCCAGCTCCTCAAAAGCACTCATCAGGCACAACGCACACATGCCAATATCTGCAATTTCCACAAGAGAGAATTCACTGTAACACTGTTTATTTCTGTGGTGCTGTTTCTTCTTTCTCAGACTTTAGCCAGGGACAAGATCAACGCAAATGGCCAAGTTAGCTCACTTTGCCAACAGGCAGCAGAACAAGAAGGCTCCTTCCCGTGGTCTGGCAACAGAATCCAAGCCAGGACAGGCTCCAGGGCCACCTACTCCCATCCTGTCCTCACTACTCTGTGCCAGAGCCTAGTATCAATACTTTCATGGCATCAGATAGCCAAAGGAAAAAGGAAACAAGAGCAAAAGGCTGATCAACCTGAACCCCACGTACTGTCAATCAACTCAAATCAAAGCAGCCGATTTCAGTGCTCTGACCAAATGAGACTAGCATTTCAACAGTTCCATCCCAAACTCACAAGTCTTTTCGGTGTTTCTGGATTTGAGCACGTGCTTTCAGATCCTCCTCTTCTTGCAGTTGCTTGGCCACCTGCAAGTCATGTTGCACCAGACGATTACGCTGAACGTTTGTTGCCAAGTGATGCTCAACTGGAAAGAAACAGACAAGAACCCCCAAATCAGCCTGCAGAACTTCATGGTGTGAACAAGACAAAGTAAGTGGGAGGGAGATTCCAGGCCAGAAAGGAAGACAGTTCTTGGCAGGAAAACATCACGTAACATCTCTAAAGGTGGGGAAGTCCTGAACTGAAATTACACTAGCAGCTTGAGATTGCCTCATTTCAGCACTGAGGGGGCTGTATACATGTGTCTGTTACCAAAACAAGATCTGCATATCTTAATTGCATCCAGATTTATACAGAATTTTTTAGGCTTTGAATTTCATATTCTGGCCACAGGAAATTACTCTAGATTAATAAAGTGGGGCTGGAAGGGACCACCAGAGGCCAGTGAGGATGAGTTGAACCTAAACCACTTCTGATGGATGCTTCCCTAATTTGTTCTCAAGAACCTCTAGAGGAGGAAAGTCCTCTCGCTCTCAACAAAATCGGTTCCAGAATCTCACTACTTTTATATTTAGCAACAGAGCAACCAAGTACTGCAGTGAGTCCTTTACCATACATGGATACTGCCTGCAAGAAAAGATAGCTACATGAGCTGCAGCTGAGAGCCAGCTTCAATTCAGTGGTCTCAGGTTCCAGCAGCAAGGGCACAACTTCAGCACAAGTTGCACGCTTGGTGGAGTAGCTGGAACAGCTTTAGCACCTAGTACTGGTAGATACCAATTGTCTTGGCAGCCGGCAAAGCAGAACAGATAGGCCACCACACCTGAAACTGCAATACAAACATACCCCAAGTAACAGATAAGAATGTTAAAAAAAAAAATTACCAGTCACTTTGAAGTTCCTGGCTGTACTTTTTTTTCCTCCTTTTTAAACCCTACAGTGTACAGCTGCCCTACCTCAAATGTCTTAAAAGGAAGCCTCCTTTCAAAAGGCAGGCACTAGCAATTTGGAAATAAGTAAATAAACAGAACTCTTCTGGTTGCACCTCAGGTCAGCCTATAAAACTTGAAGCTTCCAAAATTGCTAGTCATTTCTAAAAACCTTGCACAGCAACAAAACCTCAAATGTGCTCCCACATGCAATTTTATCATAAATGGCATAAACAAACTCAACTCTAAAAGGAGAGCACAAAATTGAAACATGAAATGCAACTATCTCTAGGGTACAATGTGAGCTGGGGCAGAACGCAGAGCAGTGTTACAGGACAGTGAAGATAGTAATAATACTCCATACTCCAATAAAAAGAATAAAAATGAAATAAAAGCAGGGAGGATTTTTCTTAGCAAAACCAAACAAAGCCAGGTATCTGTTGGGACAAATTTGCTTCAGTTTGTTCCAAAGATCATTGCTACTTACTCTCTTGCTCCTGTAAGTTATGGGCCAAGGTATGATCTTCCAGAACAGCGAAGTCTCGACACACTGGACAGGGAAACAAAGCCGAGAGAATTAGCATCAGGAGGAGAAAAAAAAAAAGCCTCAGAAGAGCCATGGGGGTCAAGGGAGCATGCGTGCAGAGAGACTTCTGACACATTTGCTTTCTACCAGCCAAGGTCTGGACTTGTAGGTTTTTCCCCCCCTCTGCGCTTGTGGCTATTTCTGCACGTACTTAACTTTTTTGTCCACGTTTGCGTAACAAGCCTTCTCCACTCTTCCCTCCACCTCCACTTCTTTAGTTTAAGACCAGAATTGCCCGCACCACCACTGGATCAGACCTTGTATACAAAACCCTGTCTTCCAACCAGATTTATACCAATGCCCACGCTTAGCATGTTCAACTAAAACCAAGGTCAAGCATTTGTGCTTACTATGACTTTCTTTGCCAGGTTAAAGAGTCTGAGAATAGTATTTTCTCCGTACAAAGATACATGCACACTGTCACCTCTGCGGAGCTGAGCAGACTGAGCTCCACAGCTCTCGCTGCAAGGCATTCATACCGGCTCAGGAATCATTTTACAGTTGTCTCCTGTAAGCTGCATTGACTTTTTCAAGCGCAGATGCTGGATTTGTACCTAGAACCCAGATATGGGATCAACCACAGTGTTACCGGCAGGGATAAGCACACCTTCTTAAAAAGATGCTGAAAACGACCCGGAGACAAGCTAAATGGGAAAGGGACAAGCTCCCTTAGGCACCAGTCTGAAAGGAGCGGATTTTTGCCAATGCCTATCACTTTCGCACTTGAACTTTCAAAGGAATGCTCTACCCACACTGTAGAAAAATACCAGGGTTTATTTTTAACTTATGATAGGCAGCGGGGCAACAAAACACAAGTCACATACATACTGGGACAGGGACACACACACACACACACACTATCTGGTTCAGCCTTTTGGTGGTAGGTACACATCAGCTTCTCAGTGAACCAAGGACAAACTGTGACCTATGCCCCCAAACTGCAGGATGGGGCCCCGCTCCGCACATCTGCCATACACGGGGTTCCCGTCTGCTTCAAGGGGAGTTTAAGGCATGGGCACTGAAAAATTTACACTAGAGAGGTCTGTCACTTGTTTTGCCCTCAATGTGACAAGCTAAGCAGCTTAACAGGACCCGAAAGGGGAATAGCTCCCATTTGAAACGTACAGCACAAAGCAGAGAACTACAAGGTGCTTCTGAAGCTGCAGAGGGAGGTACAAACCCCTGCTGCTGCGCTCCATAGGCTTCCTGTGGGGAAGACCAAGGTTTCTCTTTAGCAAAGCACAGCGACAGCCTAGAAGAGAAACTGAAAATAACCCCAAAACCCCCAGAACGTACCAAAACTACAAGGGGAATTTATGAGGAACCCGCTTATGAAATGGTTCAGAGTCAGAGAAGATAAAACACTTCCATCACCACAAAGGGTGAAAAATACTACAAGGAAACGAGAAGGCAGACGCGTCTTCCCAAGCCACAGTACCACAAAGCCTTCCCTCTTCTCGCGTTGACGCATATGCTCCGCTAGAGAAGCATCAAGATGTTCCTCTGCACCCAGGTATCTTCACAAAATATCTAGAAGAGTTTCTAGTTATGCGTACTAAGAGGTCAGATAAACGCTTTATGCTTTATCGCATTCAGCAGAATTTTTGGTTGAGTCTTTCTGCATTGGAGGGTGTTTTACAGATGACAAAAGCTCCTAACAGCTAGACCAGCACTTCAGGAAAGGAGAGTGACAAGCTGCAGGGTGGAGATGAGGGCAAAGATTACGGTTATACGATCCCATAGTGACTCACTTTAAGCATGTACAATTCTGGATGGTGCAATTAAGGTTTTTTTTGTTGCAACTTCTTTTGAAAAAGAAGAGAGGATACAAAACACTAAATAGCACTGAAACACTTCCAGCAGGCATTTGTGTATAAATAAACACTGCCTTCAGCCACAGATCTGGAAAAGCCACAGCTGAGTTGCAGGCAGTAGTGCTATTCACAGGTGACATACCCAGGGTGCTTGGTGGTCATTAACACAAGTTTTTATGGGATAGGGCAAGGGGATCTTGCCCACAGAGACTTCATTTCTGTGGTCCCTAACACTACTTCAGCTTCATAGCACGATTGTGGAACAACCACCTTCTGCTTACAACAAGCATCATCTGGCCTGCTGGAAAGGCACATCCAACCTGGAGGTTTGAGCCCTGCTATCAGTTCAGAGCTAAGCCAAGACACTTCAATACAGAGCCACAAACAGTCTGCCCCGATCTAGGGCTGTGCTTTTACCACCACGTATTCAAGAAGCAGCACTTGCTCCTGACAGTTAAAAAAAAAAAGGGGGAGGGGGGGAGGGAAGTGTTATTTTTAACTGCAATAGGTCTCTGAGCAAGTCCACTGCACAGCTGCCTGAACAGCTGTACTAGCAAGACAAGGCAGGCAGCACAGGAGCGAGGATGAACATTTCAGAGCTGTATATTTTTTTGCATAAAGATTGCTGCTGTAAGAAATGCTTATGAAACGGCATCCCAGCCTTCCCAACTCCTTTCTGCACAGGCTCATACACTGCTCTGACCCCCGTGGTATTCGAGCTCTGCCTTGTCAGTCAGGGTGCTGCTGGTGCTGGCAGACCTTTGCTCCATCCTCCCCAGAGAGGCACACGTGCAGAGGAGGACTTTAGGTTTTTTTTACTCCATTCTAGCCACACCCAGACACACTTCTCTGTTTGGGAAGAAACATGTTGACAGAAGCGTGCTTGGCATACAGGCAATAAAGTGGGAGGGCCGTGGTAGAACACCGCTGCTCTTCTCTTGACAGTCTTGCACCAGCCCCAAAAAAGTCTCATCTCCTCCAGTTTCCTTCATTCCCTCAACATCGCAATGATTGTTTAACCCTTTTTTGATTGATGGGCCACGAAAAACTTCCTAAAGAAAGCATGGGATCCTTAAATAAAAAGGCCAAGTGCATATACTGTTGCGTTGTATAGGTGGGCCTGCTTCTTCTAGCTGCTCCTCCAGAGGTCTGTTGGAAGTAGTTCATGGGACTCCAAAGTTAAACAAACAGGGACAAAGCAAGTGGGGACAACACCCTGGGACGAGCCACCAAGTTGCAGGGCCTAGACGCAAATACAGGGGCTGGGTCTTAAAACAGTGATGATTATCGCATCAAGGTCCAGTACAGAGAGAGGGAAACTGGATGGCTATTCATGATGTACACACTGGAAGCTCTCAAGTGTCTGGGCTCCACAGTGCCCCCATCTCACAGAGGACACCTCGCAGAGGAGGCTGGCAGGGCAGCAGCAAGCCTTGGGTTTGCTCACATGTTTGGATTCATTTGTGCACTGCTGAAGAAGCCACTTGGCTGCGTATACACTCCATTAAGCTGCTCTTACAAACCCACGAACGGACAGCTCGAGCACACAGCCCTCGCTTTGTGCTGCTGAAGCTGCTGGCAGGGCAGACAGCACAAGAAGACCTTTCGTCACTGTCAGAAACTCGGCTGGGCTGGCTGCCTCTAACTCATCTGAGCACATTATTCCCAAGCCCCATCAGCCCGAGAACAATGTGCAAAGGAAGATGAGAACATCCCATGACAAACACAATGAAGTGCTGTCAGCCAGCCAGGTGGCAAGAGATGGGGACACCTGCAACTCCCTAGCAAGTCTGGGGGCGATGGCAAGTGCAGAGCACTCCCTCAAGGCTAGACCCAGCGCCCATGGCACTGAGTCAAGCATGACCGCAGCTGCAAGCGAGGCCAGGGATGGAGGGTTGGTTTCCTTGAAGACATGCATCCAACAATGAGGCAACTACAAAATAACTGGAGATGTGGACCAGCCAGGCATGGTCTGAAATGAAGGTTCATCAGCACTAGTCCTCGTCCCCTGCCCAGTCTCAGCATGGCCCCAGCACACTCATTACCAGGTATTACATCCACTGAGTTTGTGCTGAGAAATAGGATGGCCCCAATAACAGAGTGACTCACAATTCCTCCTCTCCAAGAGGCTTCCTATTTAAGGGGAAAAGAAATCTGTTTCCTTATTCCCTAACTGTATGCCTAAAAAATGAAAGGCGAGATTAATGTTATGTTCACTGCTGCGAATTAACTTGACTTCCCATCTCCAGGCCCTGGCTGTGAGCCATCAGACAGTCAAACAAGCAGCAGGGGTGCAGTCGCAGCAGCTACAATTGGCAAGTCCAGTGAAGCGTGAAACATTAACAACAGGTTTACCGTAGTCTGATTAAGCCAATCTGCCTTGGCACAGCAGGGAGCAGGCCTGGGATATGCACTTCTGGCACAGCTGTCAATGAAAGAAATGCCAGCCCAGGAATCCCAGCTGCTGCCACAGTCAGCAGAGGTGCCAGCAGGGGAGGACGAGGGCAGAAGCATGGCTGGAAGCATCATCCTTTGCAGCAGTGGTGCAAAATCCATGCAGCGGCATGAAAGAGGGAGCTTGCTTGCTTGAGGGATCCTGAAGACCCTCTCTGCAAGCTCCAAGCACAGGTGGTCTCCACTGGTAGGAGTTCACCCCAAAAATATGCCTTTCTAAGCATCAGTGCATCTGAGGGGCTCTTGCAAGCATGGTTGCAAGCCCTGCCTTTATGGCGGAGATAAGAATGTCTCTAGGTACAACAACTTGGCAAAATTTCACAGAATAACCTTTTCGTTTTTATATTCTGCCACCTGCCCCACTAGTTTTCTCCAGCATTACCTCAGCTCCATAGATCGGCATTTCTAACAGATTGCGTCAAAGAGAGTGAGGTAACCACAACAGAGGAGCAAAGGCAGCCTTAGATGTTGCTAGCAATACTTCGGTGTGTGACAAAGTAGGTAACATCCAGGAATGGGCAGCGTGAATGTCCACTGTCTCTACAAGAGGTCAAGCCCCACTGGCTTCTCAAGGCTTACAGCAAAACACCCCCTCAGTTCTGCCTGAAGTCTTAGACGGTGTTTTAACATCCACTGAAGGGCCCAAGGGCCCCCTTGGTTCATGTGGCCCATATGCTGTGCTCTGGGACATCGGCCAGTTCAGTGACCCAGGGACCACACATGCATGCTCCAAGCATTTCCTTTTGGGTCTTAAAAAAAAACCCTTTCTTGCTCCCCACCCCCTCCACTCACATTTTCCCATCAGCATCATGCGCTGGATAATTCACAAAATAAACTAGAAGGTGTGAGTCATGCTTAGTTTGGAGCATCTGCAGTTTACGAATCCTGAACTGAAGGACAGGAGGGAGAGGAAAGACAAAAGTAACACAGGAAAAAACAGTTTCATCAGCTAAAAATCACTTTTTAGGGCCTACAGAGCTGACAAATTAAGTGGCAAGCAGCAAGTGCAGCCTGTTACAAGCCAGCAGTCACAGGAAGATGCTGAGTTATGAAGATCCCTGCAGATTAGAAAGCAAGCTGGGACCTCACAGAGACTCTTACCAGCACGGACTGGTCAGGCCACTCCAAGCCAGGTAAGTCCTCCAAAACCTGCAGATCGTTTCCTTGAAACAAAGCCAACATGACCAAGCAGCCACCCAGCTGGAGGTGAGAGGCTACCCAGAGGGCAGTTTCCAGAGGAAACATGCAGCTGGGATGTTT